AAGCTCTGTCGTAGCACGAAGTTAGCCGAGTTCCGACGACGCCGCAATCGTGCTGCCATCTCTCGGGAACCGTGCTACGTTTCGTTTAGCTACCAAACTAATGACCGTCTCCGACATATATTATTATATTATTGTTTATTGGTGGTTAGATGCGTGGATGAACCCACGGGTCATTTGGTGTTGAGTGGTTATCGAAGTACAATATATACTCGTAATATAACTACATGTTACTACGTGTTATGTGTTTTTTTTTTGCTTAGATGGGTGAACGAGCTCTCAGGCCACCTGGTGTTAAGTGGTTACTGGAGCCCATAGACATCCACAACGTAAATATGCCACCCACCTTGAGATACAAGTTTTAAGGTCTCAAATATAGTTATAACGGCTGCCCCACCCTTCAAACCGAAACGCATTACTGCTTCACGGCAGAAATAGGCAGGGTGGTGGTACCCACCAGCGCAGACTCACAAGAGGTTCTACCAACAGTAAAAAATTACGGATCGTTTGGAACCTTTGAGGAATTGTTTGGTCAAATCATCTGGTTTTTACCATCACACCGCCCGCCACCGGAGTACAGTTCATCCATCCTACCTGGAGCCACTGCGTTCATCCACAGTGCGTTTCCAAATATCTTTTTTGCCACGTACCATCTGATTTTGGAATGAACTCCCCTCCTCGGTGTTTCCCGAGCGCTATAACAATATGTCCTTCATCAAACGAGGCTTGTGTAACCGTAAAGTAAACTTTACTTTTGATAGGTAATTATTTTAATTTAAAATGTTGTAAAATTAAACCACCTGCACAGTTCAAAACACCATCAGTTTGTTTTCATCGTAATTTAGTTCTGAACTTATTTTCGCATATTTTGTAAAAATTGCTACCGGTGATATTTGAAAAAAAGTACCTCGTATAAAAAAATCACAGCAAAATAATTTTAAATGTTTTATTTATAAATGAAGTAATTAAAAACGTTATACATGCATGCGCTAAGACATCCGTACGGGTTGATACATAATACCCATAATCAAACTGCGCAATAGTCTGCAGTTACGCATTAATAGAGAGTCGATTTATCGACGGTTGGCGCTCAAAAGGTAAAGCACAAGCACAAAAAAGAATAAGTGTGTGAAGATGTACTTCGATAATACAAAACGACAGTAAATATGAAGAAAAAATTTTTTTAACAAATAAATCATTTATAAAATCATTATCGTACATGAATGCTGTAATCAAAGCGTAAGCGTCTTGCATTAAGTCAATCAGCTGACAAAGGGAAGACCACCAGAAACACACACACCGAACGGGTGACATTGCTCCGTAGACCGACGCGACGGCCTGAATGCTATTATTCAGAACTTGAGTATGTGCAAACATATCATGAAAATGTCGTTAGCGATATTTAGACATCTGTAAAAAATCTTATGTTCTGTGATAGCTACCCGCTATGTAATCACGGATCTTATAATTTGTACTGTTTTTTTTTAATTACTAGAAGGACAGTTAACATTACGACGCATAAACGGCATGAAAATTATTTTACAAAAATGTAATCTAAAATACTTTATTTTGCTTACTCGCCATTTCTCGTGTATTGCGCCATACAAAACGCATCAATTTCATCCGCCGCGTGCTGTCTATTACCGCTCTCGTCAAGTATGAAATACGAGATAATTCAACGTTTATAAATAGAATCCATCCCCTTAATGACCCCTTGTTTAAGCGGCCGCCTCCCTACATGCATAATACCATTTATTTTAGTCTGAGCGGATAGAAATAGTACGTTTTTCGGTACAGTTGTGGTCGAGCATGTTTGTAAATGGATTCTTGATGGTTTCCTACTTTTGTTTATTGATTTGCAAACAGCGTTGATCGTTAAAAACGAACTAAAAGATACGAAACTTGTTTCTCTCCGCATTTTAGAGTATTTAGTTTAAATCACTACAATGAATTTGATCCGAACAGATTAAATATTGTAATAATTGTTACGTTATAATAATACTCATTGTAAAAATGAATATTTAAAAAAAATCTAATATTAAAAAAAAAAACTAATATTTAAAAAAAAAAGACATGCCCTCTGAGTTTCTTGCCAATTCTTCTCAGGACGGAGGCTAGTTCTTGTGAATTGGCGGTAGTTCTTTTGACGTTCAACAAGTATGTACTTTCATTTATGTTGAATAATTTTTTTTTGATTTGATTTGATTAAAAAAAACAGAGTTAATTCGAACACAAGTTCTGTTGGTCTATTGTCTGTTTACCTTAGGTGCTACTACCCTGCCCATTTATTCAACGATGCAGCTATCTATAGGGGTTTGAAGGATGTGATAACTATTAACACCATCACCATTCCGGACAGGTCACAACACGTTCTGAAATCATTAATTACGGAAATAAATATTCTTTATGCTTAGCATTTTATTACAAGACGTTATTCCTTCATCGTGCTATTTACATTTTTAGATTAATCGGCTAATACGCTTACGTAATAGGATTTGATCATGATACGCATAGGGTTATGTCGACCGAAGCACGGATTCTGTGCATATTCATAGTTCCGGGGACCGAATAGCTCAAAATAATTGGGACACCTATGATATTTACTGGTGGTAAGACCTCTTATGAGTGCGCACGGGTAGATACCACCACCCCACCTATTTCTGCCGTGAAGCAGTAATGCGTTTCGGTCTGTAGGGTGGGGCAGCCGTTGTAACTACACTGAGACCTTAGAACTCACATCTCAAGGTGGGTGGCGGCATTTGCGTTGTAGATGTCTATGGGCTCCGATAACCACTTGACACCAGGTGGGCTGTGAGCTCGTCCAGCCATCTAAGCAATACAAATAAAAACCTAAAAATGTCTTTGGACAGTATAATCGATTATGTTGGCCACTATATTATCATTATATTTACGTGAGTTAAATTTATGAATTACCTAATTGTTAGATAAGCTCTATGTCATTTTTGGGAAGACGGAAATACACTTAGTCTTTTCAACATCCAATTTATGACGATATAGCATTTTTTGTACATTGTCTTCTAGAAAGAAAGTCCATTGAAATCGAAGCGAGCCTTAAGTTGAATAACGTCTAAATATAATTCATGTACATACAATACCATGAAGATTTCAATATAACATGTCAAAATGGATGGCGGTACTAGGGTTATCACCTCTATGAGTTTCGGTTTTGTGTAGTATCAAAAATGTTCGTGTCAAAATATCCACAAAAAAACCAACAAAAAACAAATCACTACTAAGTGATTTGAAAAAAACACCGTTAAATTTTAGCTTTTTATATAATTTAGTAGATATTATGTTATGGCACATGTAATTTAGATTATATAATTACAGAACAGAAAGATTATTCCACTAGAAAAAAGAGTCCAGAATTCAAGGGGTATTATCGTTATGTTTTCTAATGGAATAATATTTCTGGCAAATTATCGTTATTTTTTTCTTTAATATTTTAATTATAATCCAAAAAACAATGTTCGTACATACTTGTACCTTCTTCTATGAATATTTAAACTATCAGTCTCTGATTGCCATTAATTACCGCCACGTTCGACGTATAATAAAATATAATTGCTTTTGAACCTAATAAAATTATGAGCATACCAATCCCGGAGAAGTAAATCCAAGCACTAATCTATCTCGACTTCATTTCTTTCGAACGTTTCTCATTTGCCCGTTATAAATATTTTTATTTCCTTTTATTATCATCCACACGTGGTGAATGTGTGGGGTCGATAACGCTAAGAGCTGTTCGGTTGTAAAATTCTGTAATATAAACAAACATAGCTCGAAATTTATTGGCCATTATAAATTCGGTGTAATGGGATAAGTGGCTAATACTCTGTCAGTATTTTGATATAAAGTAGCATGTTACGTAACGTTAATTGGATTAAATAGGGTGGACCGTACCATTATTGGCACCTTCCAATTATTTGAACTGGGATTTAAATTTGAGTTTTTTCCTATTTATTGACGTTTTTTAGTTGAACATTTTAGTTTATTTAGTAGTAACAACGTTTTTTTTTTTGTAAAATCTCGACTTTATACTTTCTTCACCTCTGTGATGAAAATATCCTGGTTGATAATCTCAAAAGAGGCAATGAGATGTTGTTTTTTAATTAAATAAATGCTACTTGACTCTCGAAGAGGCAAGACCTTTTTTAACTGATATATTCGGAACAACTCTTAATTTAGATTTTAAAATTGAATAGAAATAAAAACATATAACATACATTTTTCTTCATGTAAATTACAATAAACATATAATGTAAATATTTTCCCAAACAACAACCAATTATTATACAAATTGTACTATAATGTTAATATATTAGCCGCTGTATAGTTTACCCTACATTTGATGTGACCATAAATTCTGGTCGTATCCCTTTTGATCTGTTTTAGATAATATCAGAATTGATGTCGTTATCGTGTTATGAATTAGATCAAGTTTTATGAATGTTGAGGTGGATTTATTCTTCGACATATTAAATATTTTATTATTGATGTCAAAGTAATGAAATAAATAACTCCTTTGAATTATAAGTTCTGAGCTGGCCCCATAATTTTAGATTTGTAAGCATGAACGGTGTATGTACGCTTCGTTCTAAATTGAAAAAAAAAAAAAAGAATTAGGGTGACATCCTTTTTTACAATTCAATTGACTTATTGACCGTTATCTTAAGATGGGTAAACATTTGGCACCAGCTAGCTAGTTTTCTGCCGTGAAGCAGTAATGCGTTTCAGTTTGAAGGGTGGGGCAGCCGTTGTAACTATACTGAGACCTTAGAACTCATGTCTCAGGGTGGGTGACGGCATTTGCATTGTAGATGTCTATGGGCTCCAGTAACCACTTAACACCAGATGGGCTGTGAGATCGTCTACCTATCTAAGCAATATAAAAAAAAAACTAACTATGCAATAAAAAAGAACAGGCCAGAAAAAAACATAATTTTAAACTACACGATTTTAAATCGAAGTATTGTCCACAGAACTGCTTCTGGGAACACTACGAACACACCAAAAAGCAGCTTGCGACGAGGAGATGGTCACACTCGTGTGTCCCCGTGGAACAACCATCAGCATCCAGGTAGCGCAGTACGGAGCTTCAGTAACCCAGGGATCGTGTGCCTCAGAGCTGGCCGAGTATCAACCGGTGGCAGTCGAAGTTATTGGCGACACGTCCTGTGTCTGGCCTAGTACTCTACAGGTTTGTTGAATAATTTTTCAACGATTTAAGGTTAAGATGGCTGAGTATTTTACCAATGTCCACCCGATGGTTGTCTGAAAGATATTTTTGTATGTAATGTTTTGAATTTGTTTTGGTTTAATATTGGAGTACAATAACGCATACTTTACTCAAAATTATAATTTGCGTAATTACTGGTGGTAGGACCTCTTGTGAGTCCTCGCGGGTGGGTACCACCACCCTGCGTATTTCTGCCGTGAAGCAGTAATGCGTTTTGGTTTGAAGGGTGGGGCAGCCGTTGTAACTATACTTGAGACCTTAGAACTTATATCTCAAGGTGGGTGGCGCATTTACGCTGTGGATTTCTATGGGCTCCAGTAACCATTTAACACCAGGTGGGCTGTGAGCTCGTTCACTCATGTAAGTAATAAAAAAAATGTGTTGAATACATTTCCTTAAGCAAAAAAACCGCTCATACTGCTTTTGTATTAGATATTTTAAATTTCTTGTTTTATTTGAACGATAAATATTTCTCAATCAAATAATCTGGAGCGGTAGCTATACAACACAAAATATTTGACAGATTCCTGATATCTCGCTTACGACATTTTCAAGATATAAGCTTGCATAATAAATATACAAATTACGAACAACAACATCCCAACATGGCCCTCGGTCTACCGAGAAATTTCATCTGTTCAGTGGAAGATCTTCCCTTTTAAACCCCCCAGAAATCAATCATAATGGACATAACTGGCAGTTCTGGTGCACATTATTTATAACCAAGTATCAGTTTGAAGATAGGTTCTTAGTAAGATGAAATTGAATAATATTTATATTCAGTGTTAAAGTCAGCAATGAAATTCACTTTGCTGTAAGCACAACAATCATTAGAAAAGGAAATTCAAGGCAGTGAAGTTAATAACTCAAAAATTAAACAAAGTCAAATGAAAAGATTAATCCACGATTTATCTCTGTATCCTTGAATTAAACTACTTTGTGTTTACTAATACCAACGTTGTTTATAAACGAATTGGAAATTCCCACTAAAACGCACCGAATTCCCAAGCGGCGCGTTTACGACTCATTTTCTCATATGTTTACTCAGTATGGTGGTTTTATGAGCAGATGTCGATGGTATTACCCTCTATATACCGATAAAGTACAAAACGCGATTCGATTCAAATGCCACTATTTCGGTACCAATATATTATCTATTTTATTTGAGTTACATGGAGCGCATAAAATGTTAGACTACTAGTGTTTTTTTGATACACGATTTGAGAAAATCAATTCAGAAATAGGCTGGAACTACTCAATAATATTTATTGGATTTAGATGTTTTTATTAATTTACTAGCTGACCCGGCATACTTCGTAGTGCCTTAGTCGATAAATAAAAGACCTAAACTTTTGTTTAAAATAGACTTATAACAAACAAAAGGAATCCATCAAACAAAATTGTTATTTTTCTTTAATTCCAAGTACTTTCATATTTATTTACCTTTTAAACCTTCTCTGGACTTCCACAAATTATTCAAGACCAAAATTAGCCAAATCGGTCCAGCCGTTCTCGAGTTTTAGCGAGACTAACGAACAGCAATTCATTTTTATATATGTCGGCGCAAATATGACTATTTACCTACTGATCATCAACTAATTACTCTGTGATAAGAAATTGATGTTAAACAGTCCCTTTTATTGTAATTTCAATACTTTAAAATCTTGTAAACACGCTCACGTGTTTAATACTTGTAAACACGCTGACGTGTACGNTATGACCATGGTTCGGGGTTCAAAAATGTTGCGGCACGAACGCAAGAAGAATATCGCGAAAAATAAAATTATCGGAAAATGACGTATCTCACGGAGCTGGAAATCGAAAAACTAAGCAATATTCATTAAGACATGTTAAAAAAAGCAATCGGAACTGGAGGACGTCGTAATGATGCACGACGTGCAGACGCCAAAAAGATTGTAGGATGTAAATATATATATATATATATATATATATGTTCAGCGTTAGGCAATATCTGGGACCAATAATTATAATTAACGCATCGTTTGTCTTCTATCAAGTAGAAACGGTAATCAGTTACGGCAAGAGTTTAATGTTTTCTAAAATTATTTCGCATGTTAAATGCTACTTTATCACCCAATAACAAGATTTGTATTTTATTGAAGAAAATTAGGGATCCCTACGAAAATGGCCACAATGTTAATCGAGGTTACCAACAAATGAGTATCAAAAGCATTATTTGGCGTGCTATGCGAAGATTAATTGATGATCCATAAAATAATGTACAAGCTAATGTTTATTTAAACATTATACAAGCGAAAAAAAAAATCGACGCCATAGTATATGTCTAAAGTCACAATAAAAGTCTATATTACACAATGAAGACGGGTAGAAACAAAAGATTATGACAATCGTATCATGATTTTAATTGTTATCAAAGTATGTAAATAGAAATTTCTCTTTAAACAAATTATTCGAATAGGACCATTCGCTTAGAAATTATTCTTCCTGTTAGTGTTTACACTTTTGGCAAAGAGGTCGTGATCGTCATGAGAAATTGAAGGGAGCAAATTTGATGCGTCTCACTATGTCCCGACATCTCTATGTCCGATAGATGGTATGGTGTGCATAAAAAAAATTTTTTTTGTTGTTTAACTAATTGCCCATATGTGAGTGAATATCTATATTTTATTATTTGTAAACAAGAAACATTCGAATAGTATAGAAGTATAGTATTCTTTATATCTTTGATGTTATCCGTCCGATATACTTAAAATTATTACAGGAAATACATATTTTTATGGTGAAAGCGCTCGTTACGAACAAAATTTCAAATAATCTTTCTAAACCTATCCAAAATTATACTTTAAGCAAGGGAGTGATGTTACCACGAAAATTATGTTGACCAGCATTTAGATAAGTCTTTCCGAAAGGTGTTTAGACATATATTTATCATAATACATGCAGATTATAAATATATTCAAAACTGACGAGAAGCTTTGATACCATGATAACTACTCAATACCACCAGATGAGTAATGAATATCTAAGAACAAACCTACTTTGGTAAAATGACAGCCTAATGGGATTTACCTATGATTGCCAAGTCGCAGGCATATATCATTGAAGAGGCAAAGTACTGAAATGTTGTCATTTATGAAAAGGATTAGTTTAATTAGAATTTCTAGGTACTCTAATCACAAAATCCTAATTCACCGGTACCCGTAATTTTCGGCGAGTTTCTAGTTAATATTACACAAACAAAAAATTTAAGAAAATACGGACCTTGGAATTCTCCGAAATCGCTTCATTAAAGGTACAAAAACAAATTGCACGAGTAAAACAATCAAAAAGGCCTCGGAAAGGGATATTTTCATTTCTTCCTTATTTGTTCAGAAGACTAATTAAGGACCCTTCATTAACTCGCAACAAAGTTCCGCAAAATTAAGAATCGAAAATCATTTTTATACCTACCAAACGGAAGTAATACTTTCGTATTTTCTAGGAATTCATTTAAATGGTTTCTTTTTTACCAGGCTTAATGTTAGATCTCAGCAGTAAATTATTTCTCAGAAACTCTTTAATATCTGGTTTAAATGCCTGCCTTCTTCTTGCTTCGGTTAGCTCAATACTGAGGGTCGTGACCATCTCCTCGCGACAAGAGTTTATTACGGACCATTCCACACCATTTGCCTCTATCTGCCGCCGAGTGTAGAGCATCGTGAGCTGTGGTGTCGATGGTAGTGCGTATCTGGTCAGTCCAACGTGTCGGGCCTCTACCTCGTGGTAAAAAATGCCTACCAAAAAAGCGTTTTCTACATTTTGTTTATTTCTGTCTCTATTTTTATATTTTTAACCCTCTCTCAAATGTAGTTCAAGATATTTTCAAGACAATTTAAAGTAAATACTGAGCTCAGCCTGAGACACTTTGCCTGAGAGCAAAGTTTTGCGGAATCTACCACCGGATCGGAATTGAGACCAACTGACAAGATCCGGCGGGAACTTAGTGGCCTATCCGGTCCATTCGACTCACACAAAACGACACACTGTGTGAAGCTGATCTCTTATCAAGATTCATTCCGAATAAGGTAGTGGAAAGGAAAATAATAGAACTGGCTCTCCAATTGCCTTTTCCGTTCTCGTATAACCAGCACCCAGGGGTCACTTGTACATACCTAGTCAGGTCATAAATTCTGTCACATGTTTAATGTAAAATAATTGAAACAAGTTTATTCATTATGTAACCATTCATATACCAAAATGAACTTAACAAAACATAGATTCTTATGACATTAAAGTTTATTCAAAATGACCTCCGTGATTTTGAATACAGGCCTTCAATCTGCGCGGCCAGTCGTCTATCGCAGCACGANACTTCAGGAGTTGTGTATTTATAATTCGCTCCATCACCTTGGAAAGCAAGGAAGTTATCGCGATAGGCCTGTAGCTCGATGGGTCCGACCGGTCACCCTTCTTGGGGATAGGGTGGACGTGGGCGGTCTTCCATGAAGACGGAACCCTGTTAGTGCAATAAGAGAGGCGATACAAACGCGTTAGCGCAGGTGTCAGCTCAGGGGCAATGTTAAAAATTTGAATTGGCGCGTAACCACAACGATGCAACGCAATAACTGCAACACGGTCTTCTTTAAGCGTCCACTCCATATTTAAAAATGAGTAAAATTTTAAAAGTATACCTTTTTATTTTCATGAACAATTCGAAATTCGAATTCAATAAACTTTTTTCTGGCCAGCATTCTAAAAGAAAAGTTTTTACTGTGTGACAATACTTATGACCTGACTAGGTAGTATTGCTAGTCAAATCTACGGACGCAGAAGCATCAAACCCCAAAATAATAAGTGGGACACTTGAGTTTTAATTCTATAGAGTGATTTTCCGGGAATCACTAGCAGCACTGCGATGAAATGTTTGGATTCATTAAATGTTCCCGTAAGCGGAAATAAATTGCCAGAAATACCTCTGTAAATAGGATAAAAAAACATTTCTTCAAAGTAAAATGTATTTTTAATCAAAACCTTCGTTTCCAGATCCCTCCGAAGTAATCTCCCGTTTTCTGTTTTACGTCGATATTCGTTACAAGGATTTCGGATATACATTTGAAATGCTTGTTTTTGTTAAGATATTATAACGATTTCACCAAAATATTATATTATTTTCGTGATTATTCGACATATTCGAACATCATTTTCAAACTACGTTTATTGAAAATAATTGTATACTCGTATGTATTTGACTTCCATAAATGGGTTACACTTTTTCCTCGTTTTGATGTCTTTTGTTGCGTCCCGGAAAGAAAACTATTTACAAGGTATTATTCAAATCTGTCATTGTTTTTCCTGTTTTCGACAAAAACATTAAAAAATCCTTATTTTTAAATTAATTACATATAACCGATGTAATTAATCAAAAAAAAAAAGCAACAGCGCAAATCCTCACCTTAAAGTTGGTCAGATTCCTCAACTCATTCATTTTCGTCTGAAGCTCAAGTTTTACAAAGAACGAAGCGTTCTTTATAGAGACCGTTAATATATTCCAGACTTTCATAAGTTCTATTTAAAATATTCGTTTTGTAGTCTTAGTTCTTATGAAAACTTTTTTATTTGACACTACTTTCAAACTACGACTACCTTATTGAAGAACATACGGAGTTTTTTTTTTTTATTGCTTAGATGGGTGGACGTGCTCACAGCCCACCTGGTGTTAAGTGGTTACTGGAGCCCATAGACATCCACAACGTAAATGCGCCACCCACCTTGAGATATAAGTTCTAAGGTCTCAAGTTAGTTACAACGGCTGCCCCACCCTTCAAACCGAAACTCAGTACTGCTTCACGGCAGAAATAGGCAGGGTGGTGGTACCCACCCGCGCGGACTCACAAGAGGTCCTACCACCAGTAAGTTGCTCGTCTGTCTATAATACTCATACATAATTTACTATTTGTGGCTATTTGTGGCAATGTGTTAGCGTACATTAAAGCCTGAATATACGTCCTGTATTTGTTTAAGTATGACAAGACATATCTTCTATCGTTGTTATGTTTAATGGTGCACCTGAGATCCATAATGCGTGAGTGCTGTCAATCATCTCAGAGTACCTCGTGGTGGTACAAATTACAGACGTAGTGCATACTTTATAAGAGCTGCTAACAGTTTCAATGCTCTAGCCGACTGCCCTGAACTGGACATTTTCAACACTTCTACTAAGAGTATTAGGAGAACATTAATCGATGCTTGAATGCAGATATTTAATTGATTATTTTCTATTTACTTCGTTTTTCTGTTTTTTTTCTTCTTCAAATTGGTGTTATTTTTGTTTTTGTTTTACGTTTTGCTTTAATTATTTAATTCTAGGCGATGCGACGCCACGGTGTTTAATTGTAAGGTTAGATATTATATAGTTTAAATTCACTGTTGGTCTTCCAAATAAAATATAATATAAGATAGCTTAGTGCAAACCTATTTTTGTAAGTTTAAGCTTAAAGCATTTTGCTTTCACTATACGAATGTTTATTATTAAAATACATATGTACTTAAAAGGCATTCCACGATTGGCTTCTAAAATACTCAAAGTTTGATCTCTTGGTCCAATAGTGTCTCCAGCTTTAAGTTGATTTCAAATTTGAATTTTGATATTAAAATGTTATCATATTTTTAACAGATCGTAAAAAGATCACTACATAAGATAAATAAAATACTACCTTAATATGAAGTGATTCATTTGCTACTTTTACCGTGCATATTGTAGTTGAATTTTCATGACACTGAAATTTAAAGATAGCTGGTAGATGTCCTGTGTTCATTTGACAAGGAAGATACCAAATAAATTGTTTTAAAATAGTGATTCCTATTACACTTGACAATTTTTTTAATGATTTCTTTTATGCTTTTTCATTGCTGCTTATGTTTTTCTTTTTCTTTTTTCTTTATTGCTTAGGTGGGTGGAAGAGCTCACAGCCCACCTGGTGTTAAGTGGTTACTAAAGCCCATAGACATCTACAACGTAAATGCGCCACGCATCTTGAGAATATGAGTTCTAAAGTCTCAGTATAGTTACAACGGCTGCCACCCGTCAGACCGACACGCATTACTTCTTCACGGCTGAAATAAGCAGGGTGGGACTTACCCGTGCGGACTGACAAGAGGTCCTACCACCAGTAAAATAATAATAATATAATCGTACGTCTCATTGACATATTTTATTATTAAAACAAATGCAGTCTGTGAAAAGTTTGAAGATACGATAAATAACGTAAAAGTCAGAACAGCAAAAATATGAATGTCAAACGAAACGATTTTTGTTCGTTCATTCAATATTTTTAGTGCACGTAATCTCTGAACATGCACAACAAGAGAGCATCCGAGAGTAATGCAATGCAGCAAAATGTGTTTTTAAATGAGAAGGCAACGCTCGTGTAAATGCTCGTAAAACTTGTATATCATTTTGTTTACTTTAGGTGTCTCGCTGGCTTTTCTTGTTGGAAACATTGTTGTGATAATGCTATACACTTTTAAATATACATACATTCGTTCCTTTTTTTATTTTTATTGCTTAAATTTTTGGACGAGCTCACAGCCCACCTGGTGTTAATTGGTTACCGGAGCCTAAAGACATCTACAACGTAAATGCGCCACCCACCTTGAGATATAAGTTCTAAAGTCTCAGTATGGTTACAACGGCTGCCCCACCCTTAAAACCGAAACGCATCACTGCTTCACGGCAGAAATAGGCAGGGTGTTGGTACCTACCCGCGCGGACTCATAGAGGTCCTACCACCAGTAATTACGTAAATTATAATTTTGTGGGTTTGATTTTTATTACACGCTGTTATTCCTTCACCGTGGAAGTCAATTGTGAACATTTGTTGCGTACGTAATTCATTAGAAAAAACATCGAATTGTTGATGCTGACACCAAATAAAACGCACCTTTAACTACAAAGGTAAATGTCGCGTATTAAATGAAATTTCGCTTAAACCAAATAGACTTTCACCTATCGATATATCGATACTTCCAAACGTCACATCACTACCGCCTCCGCCAATTTCGACCGGTTGCATCGTTGTACAAAAAGCTTGAGACATCATTCGAAATTTATCTGAACTGGCACGGCAGCTAATGTTGTTTTTGCGCTTTGACTGCACTCAGGTCGCTTCGTTCGTAAAATATGACATAAGATAATTTATATACAAGAGGACTGATTAATTGGAATCGAAGTACTGAATCTGTCTGTGTACTGAAGTCTGAAAGTACTGAAGTGATTGTGTGCAGCTCTATTTTTTTTATTGGTTAGATGGCTGGACGAGCTCACCTAGTGTTAAGCGGTTGCCAGAGCCCATAGAAGCCCATAAAAGTGTGTGTGTCCGCTCCGACGCACGACTGGAGTTTACTGGATATAAAAAATTAAACGAAACAATACGAGAAATAGTTCTATATTACGACAACACGATACACTACAGATTATTAACAAATAACAAATTAACGAGACACAAAACAAACGACTAACAAATATATGAAAATACAAAAATACAATAATGAGAGAAACGCGCGATCAGTACGAGGCTTTGTGGCGGACTGCCGGCGCAGCAGCCCGGCGTCACCTGCAATAACGCGGCCGCGCGTTGGCTCCTGATTGGCGCGCGCACGCATCACGCAATCAGGAGCCAATCAGGCGCATAACGCATTTCGTGTGACATGCTAGTACGATTTTGATTGGCGCGCGCACGCATCACGCAATCAGGAGCCAATCAGGCGCATAACGCATTTCGTGTGACATGCTAGTACGATTTTGGTCCCCATAATTTTCATACCCCGGGCCTATATATGTAAATCGATTCTAAAGGAGTAAACTCCAAAATTTGTACCCGTCTGAGATTCGAACATCGGTGCATCGCTCAACACGAATGCACCGGACGTCTTATCCTTTAGGCTACGACGACTTCATCTTGTAAATTAGATTTGTTTATGCAACCTTGAAATACCACACCGTATACATGATTTCATTTAAGACAATATTGCCAGCTTCTGCGTTAATTCTCGAAACCTTTCACCCGTCTGTTAAGCTTATAATAGATATGAGGACATCAAGCTATTTATAATGAACAGATAATCTAACTAATGTTCGTAGTATTCCTTGTTGCAGACAGTTGTGGAGGCATGTCAGAAGAAGCGGCAGTGCAAGTTCCACACCAGTCCCAAGGCGTTCGGAATGGACCCATGCCCCGGTTCCAGAAGGTTCGTCGAGGTCGCCTATAAGTGCCGTCCTTGTAAGTTTTTTTCATTATCATCGTACTTCCATACAACACTTTCAAAATCTTATTTGAGTTTTTCTTAACTGTAGTTTTGTTAAAAGTTTTAATTTTTGACATAGTAATCATGCCCGATGAGAGTTTGGAAATAGTTTTTGTGTTAAAAACCTCATTGGCGTTCGTAATCCAGTTTCTTAAAACTTGATCCTAAGCGGCTGTCACCGTTTATTTACGTCAGACGTTCTAAGCACCCGACTTGGCTGTATCTTGGTTCTCACAAAATGTAACATTGTAATACTCTGCCCTATACTAATTTAAATAATTGACATTATTATAATACAGTGTCATTGGATTAATACCTTTTATTGACCATATTATTCACTTTACCGTGGAATTGGAATTTAAAAATATTCATAGAGAGCCACCATAATAATTTTCCGTAATTAGTTGGCTTAGGCTGACTAAAAAATGTAATAGAATTATTAATGGAAACCTTAGTAAACTTAAAGTTAGGTTAGGGATGAAAAAGAGATGCTATGACTTTTTCTCGCAACTGAATATTGTTATATTATATAACATTATTGCAATTTCGATATAGCGTTACCATTGTAAACAGTATTGTATTTTCTGTCTACCAAAAATTTAAAATGCTTAAGCAGAACAATTTCTGAAAATCTGTTTTTGCTGATCGGATCAATAATATAAATCTGTATTTTTAATTACACAATAAAAACCATCAGACAACACGCGAATGATCCGTGACGTTCAAAATGTAAATGTATTTGTTCAGTGTTTTTCGAAACGCAATTAAACGCCATTAATAAAGCAAGAACGATGTATTATATGGTAATATGTTTATTGTGTTCATCGAAATGATAATTCGTGCAATAAAATCGAGTTACGTGCTTAGTTTCATAATTTTAGTCTCTATTATTGTCCGTATTGTGAATATTTGGAATTCACTTATATTAATTGTCGATTGTATGATTATTGTTTCGGACTTAGCTCAAAGCTGTTTATGATTTTTAAAGGTATGCTTAGATTATTAAATTAATAATTGCTCTAAAGTATTGAACTTAGCTCTATTGTGGGTATTATCGTTTCGATTTATCTAGTCATTGTTTTCATAAATATTTTTTTATTGTTAGATCTGTGGTTTGTTATTTGTTGTTCGTATTCGCGGGATATTCTTTTCAAAGAAAGAAAAAAAGAAAAGAATGGAGAAACAAAGCCAAGGATAGGGAAGAGTGGAGCAAGCTAGAGGAGGCCTATACCCGAATGGGGTTCCAAGCACAAGTTTATATTTAATATTGTAATTTTTATTTGATAAGGTGTTTTTTCTTTTTTTTCTTTTTTTCTATTTGTGTTTTGGAAATAAAATGGGCTTATTATTATTATTATTATTCGCGGGATATTATACTCCGAACATATTATAAAAGTCAAACACAACAATTCCACAATATCTACTTAGTCTGGCCATAAATACTGTTACAATAAAAAATAAAAAATAAACTATTGCAAATAACATTTATTACTTTTACAGTGTGTTAGTTTAATACATAAATATAAAACAATTTAAAGTATAAAAAGCTTATTCGAAGTAGTCTCCATTGGCTGTAATACAGTCCTTTAACCGTTGAGGCCAGTTATCAATAGAAGCACGCACTCTTTCCATAGAGAAAAATTTTCACTGCCAATCGTACGGATTGTTTTAGGGACTCCAAATTATCATGGCGTTTAGAGCAAGCCGTACTCTCTAAAACTGACCATAAATCATAAACCAGCGGATTAAGATCGGGACTAGACGACGGCCAGTCTTCAACTCTGATGAAGTCCGAAACATTCGTTTCCAACCAAGACTGCGTAGACCGAGCTTTATGATCAAGACTCGGCTGGTTGGAAGGACCATTCTTGATTATTGAAGATGGTGTTGTTAAGGGGCTTCATTACCTTCTCAAGAATGGTATCTTGATACACTTGTGAAGATGTTTTGATACCTTTTTCACAAAAGTATGGCTCAGTCACTCCTTCATAGCTAATACCCCACCAAATCATCACTGAAGTCGGATAGTGCCCACGTTGCACTCTGTCGACTGATTGGGAAGCTTCCTTAGAGCTTTGAGCATAAATACGGTCATTTTGTTTGTTAAAATGTTGCTCAATTGTAAAAAATTTTTCATCCGTAAACAAAATTTTTCTATGACCTCACTTTGCGTACCGCTTCAGTAGTTGTTTCGATTTTACCACCTTATTCTCTTTTAAATTAACAGTTAAGAAATGACGACCAGTACCTTTCTTATAGGCTGCAAGTCCTAAGTCATCTTTTAAAATACGCGACATGGTTCTAGGTGCTATCTTCATCTCCCGAGATAAAATCTTTTGCTTTCGGACAGGATTTCTTCGAATTCTTTCCCTTACTGCTTTGACCATCTTTTTCGTACGAATACTACGTGGACGGCCAGATCTTTTTCTGTCACAAGCAGAGGAGGTCTCATTGCACCTATTAATAGCCCGGTACACAAACATTTTGCTAATACCAAGCGTATGGAGAGTTTTACAAATTGCATTTGGTTCCATACCTACTTTGTGTAATGCAATCACAGCGATTCGGTTATCTTTATCACCCCACTCCATTTTAATATCGCAAAATCTTGTACAATGTATTGGCCCCAAAATGAGAAAACTCAATGAACAATCATATAAAAATGACAGATTCCAAATTCAAATGTAATATTTTGTTTATTTTTAATTGTAACAGTATTTATGGCCAGACTGAGTATTGAATAGGCTCCGAAACTACTGAACCGATTTGAAAAATTCTTTCATTGTTTGGAAGCTACATTATTCCCGTGTGACACCGCCTATAATCTTTTTTGAAAAAAAATAGGGATCGTTACTAAAACTCCAATAATGTAACGCAAGGCGTAACTATTATAGTTATGCCGGAATAAGTGTTCTTTTATTTAAAAAAATAAAACAACGACAAATATCCATGAAACTTTTGATGACCCGAGCGGAGCCGGAGCGGGCCGCTAGTTAATTAATAAAAAGACGTTAAGATTCATTGTGGTCTTTAAGACACTCTCTCAATCTCAGTGTGAATTTTCTAGCACAATTTTCTTTCAAACGAAAAATAATATAATCAAATTGGCCACAACATTCCAAAAGCCAATCTCGGTGTTTTCAAAAATGACATATCAAAAATAAACGAAGCGATTAATGAAAACGAGTATCGATACTAAGTATCCATATCATTCATAAAATTATAACGAAGCGCCGGAAATCGTGTATGAACTCGCGAACGCGACATTATTGGCAACGATAGCCTATTTAAAGCTATGAATCAAAATAATAACTGTGAAGTACCATTTTCTGCAGCTGCGTCGGGTTTGTTGGCCTGAGTCTTTTATAGGATTAAAGGATCGAAATCAGGGGTTTTGTATTAAAAAAAAAAACATAACACAAAACACGTGGACGAGAATATTCAAGTTGTGGTCTTTGGTTTTTTTTTTCTTTCTATCAGGCCTAGAATTCCTCAGTCGAAAGATTCTAGGAATTGAAGTCTATGAAACAGCATTGTCTTTGAACTTCAGTAGCAACTTAATTGTCTATAGTTAAAATAAACTTAGTATTTTTAGAACAAGATTTTATTTTACTTCATCTTGTTTTACTCCGTCAATTAAAAACGGATTTAGATTTTTTACGTTTTATTTTAACGAATGTACTTTCGGTGTAATTCAATAAAATCGGTCTCGTGTTTTCGATTTTTAAATCAAAGTTTATAGAATAATTTGTCATTTAAATAAAAATAAATAAAATAAAAAAGCCTGTATTTCCTTATTTGTTAATGTTTAGTTAGTTATTAATGTTTATTGTCTAAATATTAGTAAGAGTTAGTTTTTATTATTGGATATGGACCCTTCCAATTTGTCATTTAAGTTAACGAAATTGTGTGTGTTTGCTTTTAATGAAGTAAAATTGTTGAGAATTTAAGTTTTTATTTTATGTAGTAAAACCCGGCTGGACTCTAGTGACAATCACAAATTGTATGAAATGTTTTCGGTGGATTTTGCAAACATTTCGTCCGTTCAAGCCATGTCCAATTACGATTACGAACACGAAAAAATATTCAGTCAAATTGGTCGAGCGGTTCTTTTGTGATCCTTCGTCATTCATATGGTAATTTATTTTGAATTAGACAGATTAACTTGTAGACGTCACAAACTTGAGACACGAGACCAAAGTTCCAATGTAGTTTCTGATGTAGAGCGCATGACTGACTGCACATGACTGCTTCATAGCGGAAATAGGCAAAATTGCGGCACGTATCCTTGAGAGCTCACAATGTACGCCTTATCACCGATCATTGAATTATGAACGCAAATTTATATTTGGCGGACTCTTCTTTTATTGCACGTGTTATGCGATGAGCGGTTTTGTAGTTTTAAAAAAAACTTTATTTTAATACACACTGAATTTATTTATCCTTTACAAAAATCTGATGTTACGCGGACAGAGTTACGATGCTATAAGTTTGAAGATTGATGAGGAACTCCTAAGTTTCAAGGAGAAAGAGAATTTATATATGAATAGTATTTACTAAACAATTAGTAAATGAGACATTTAGACTATGAACTTTCTTGGTAAACATATTTAGAATCCATAAGAACACAATTAGTTAATGACGGAATTTTACTAATGTGAAAGGACTGCAATATTAACTAATGTTCTAATCACAAATGAAGATTAGATGTGAAGTAAACAATATACATATGATTTAGTAACATGAGGAAATAAGTATGTTATATAGTAACAATGATTTAGAACTTAAGTACTAAGAGTTAGAGTACATTATGTGTTTATGAGAATGGATATATGACTTAGGTACTAGTGTGAGGGGAATAACATAACACACGGTACTATTTCGTTCATAAACATTTCAATGTACTTGCTGTGGGGAAGAAGGCCCAGAGGCAGAAGTCGAATACGCTGGTCGGACCAAATACGCTCTACTCTCAATACTTCAGTCCACGTTGATATCCACACAGCCGAGAATAGGCAGGAATGGCGCAGGGCAACACAGGAGAAAGTTGCTAGAGGAGGCCACAACCCTCAGCATTTAGGATTATCGACCCAAGGATGAGGAGTTGTTGTACTGTAGACACCGCAACAAAAATCCTTGCTTATACGCGATATATACTAAATGTCTATAATAATCTTGTACTTTGTACAACTAGTAATATCATGGTATCAAATTGGTAAAAGAATAATAAAATCAAAGGAACTTGAAGTTGATACAGTGATACATGTCAAATATCAATTGGATTTGATAGCACTGGGCTGCGTTTTGATGATTGCACTGTATTAATATAATTGATTTTCACAGCCCATTCAGCTCGGATTATGTAAAGGAATTCAGCTAGTTCATCATTTGTTATAGTGTAATTACGTGTAAACTGGGTCACGGAACGGTTTCATTCTAAAATGTTATAAGTCCCAAATACTTTGTTTACTTATTCGCTTTTTTGTATTTATACGTGAACCGTAATGTTGGGCTGTCGATATTGATTCGTCTTTGATCTTATTTACTAGCGCACAATTCATTGTAAAATTCTCCGAACAATATGTTAACCGGATAAAATTCAGCTAATTTACTATTAGAGAATGCGGCTTAAAAATACCTATTTGAAGATTTATTTCCATTCTATTGAGCATTTCAGTATAGAAAGCTTCAGCGGTTTAAAAACAAGTTGTTTGAAGAGTCATTTGTGGGCTCATAGCGTTAGTAGGAAATAGGTCTAGGGGGCGTAGTCCCATGCGCTGGTCCGATCAGATTAAGACGACTTTGGAATCCAGCATCAATGTCGCTATCCACTGCGCGTAGGACAGGAGTGAATGGAGGAACATAGTCCTAACAAAAGTGCTCCGTAAAGATCACGACCCTCAGCACTGAGGAATACGACGCACGGAGGAGCGTTAGTCAACGCAATAAATAAATTGGCATTTTAAGTGGCATTCATTACTGGTGGTAGAACTTCTTGTGAGTCCGCACGGATAGATACCACCGCCTTATCTATTTCTGCCGTGAAGCAGTAATGCGTTTCGGTCTGAAAGGTAGGGCAGCCGTTGTAACTATACTGAGTTCTTAGAACTTATATCTCAAGGTGGGTGGCGCATTTACGTTGTAGGTGTCTATGGGCTCCAGTAACGACTTAACAGCAGGTGGGCTGTGAGCTCGTCCACCCAACTAAGAAACAAAAAAAAAGTGGATAAGTGATTGTAAAACATAATTGTAATGTACTGTTATAAATGTGAATTTTTATATGTTTGGATGTTTGTTGTTAAGTAACGCAAAAATAGCTGAATGGCTATAGAGGATGGATTTTAGGAAAGATAGTTTTGTAGCCTGGATTAACACATTATTTTATTATGATAAACGACACGACCCGGCAAAGCGAGGTATACCAGCTGTAATAAATACGGCAGTGTTTTCACTGGTTCGTGTTTTTACATACCAACTACAAATCAACTCATTGTTTATGGCCTAGGGCCTAGAGAATAACACGACCGACTTTTTATCCGGAGAAATCGTAACCTTTTTCATTATAATTATAATTCTAATTTTATACGTTTAAAATCGCATAGCACGTCTAGTATCTTTATAAAAATATAGTTCATATAGATCGTTGGACAGTGAACCATACGTATATATTGGAATAGGTTCGTTGACATAATAGTCATTACTACTACTGTGCTGTCAGATTCTAGAGAGTTAGGCTTGGTTCTTGGTTTTGAGTTCATGTATTACTTTATTGTATTTATACTTTTCAAAAAATAATAATGCCTAATTTATTGTAACTTCTTTTAAAGTGACATCCTCTAATTTTGGTAAGCCATTATCATTTTAAACAACTATATCATCATTGTAACCTACAAAAAGAAGGAACTTGTAAACATTTAATTACACAGTTATACTTGTTTATCTGTCTAAGTTATCACTTAATTCATGATCTCAAGAAACGTTTTCTTCAACAGATGAGTTTCGAAGTAAAGTGGGATGTGAGAACGACGTGTTACACTTGAGCTGCAACCCCCACTCGAGGGTCGCTATTTATTCCGCTCAGTATGGCAGGACGGAGTATGACTCGATACAGTGCCCTCAACCGCGCGGCATGAAAGAAGAAAGTAAGTTTTTTTTACAATTCAATTAATTTTAACATTAATATTTCTATTATTACTAACTTTAACTATACTTAAGACTTTAGAACTTGTATCTCAAGGTGGGTGGCGCGTTCACGTTGTAGATGTCTATAGGCTCCAGGTGGGCTGCGAGCTCGTCCACCCATTTAAGCAATAAAAAAATACCATAGGCGAGACGTTGTGTACGTTGTGTTTTGTCCAGGCTCATGTTGATATAATTTTAAGCATGTACCATATTATTATGACTCCACAATGAACTATATCCCTTGATATTTCTTGAGTGCTACGACAAGTCTTTTTCCAAAGAAGGTGTGAAGACAACGCTCAGCAGTAGCTCCGACGTCTCTGACCTTGTCTAACTAACATCCATTAGCGACAACCTCTCACCATGAGCTGACTAACATCTAGCTGCATTTCAAGGAAAAAAAAAACTGACGATCGTTGGACCCATAACTTTAGTGGAAGCATTCAAATTAAAACCAAATTAAAAATCTAACAAAAAAATCAAAATTCCTGTGATAATAACAGGAGCTTAGATAAATTTATTTACTAGATATTTGGCTTGTACATACAACCTATCCCCTTTCCAGATTTGTGTTTATTTTATTTTGTATGATGTTATTAAAAAGATACGTCGAGTTGTAATAGTAATAAAAAACAGAATTTGGTCCCCACTTAAGTCGGATAGTCTAAAAAGAATTTTAACGGATATCGTACAAAGAGTCAAAAGATTGTGAATGACAAACGAATGAAATATTCACTTGTTTTTTCAATAATCCCGTCTCTTTAGTGTGTTTAGATATATTCCTAATTCCTATTTCGATAATAGATTCAGTCCTCAAAATATAAGGATTATACTTTATAAATAATCTCGTTTCCTTAATAATAGATAGCATAAATAATTTCCTTCATAAATTTAAATGAAATCACTCCATGACCAATCTCGCAAACAACTCCTGTTTTTTAAATCTCTCCCTTCAATTATTCACAATATTTTGAGTGTCAAATGAATATTTATACAGCAGCAGAATTTATTTCAGAGTTAGGAAAGCCAATTTCAAACGCAAAATTTCACGTCAGGCGGAATCACAAATTTAATTTTAACCTGTAAAACAGCCTATGGGGGCTCCTTTATTGAATAATTTATTTGGGCGGGCAGTTGCTAACGTTTTAGTTCGGCCTCGGTAAACATGCTTTCCCATGTTCAGGTTCTAAAAGTGGACCTTCAACCGTTAGCGTATAGTAAATTTAGCGTAAAAATACTTACGGAATAGGCTTATTTGAGCCGCAGGAACAAAATTAACGCTTGTCAACGAACGGGAGATAACCAAACATTAAAATGATTATTAATAATTTTTTTTACTTTAGTTTTTTAATGTAAAAAAATATTAAAATGCTATTTTCGTACTAAATTCGTCTATAACAATAAAATATAGACTCTACACAAAGAACGCGAACAAAATTATCAAATTAAAAATTTTGTTGTCCTTCATAAAAGAAACATTGTTGTTAAAATGGTATGATTTTTTTGTTATTTCTTAGAAGGTTGGACGAACTCAATTATGGAAGTATGGAAGTTGAAAAGTGGAATTGTATGGCGTGATTTGGTGTGCTAATCACATCAGAGAATATTTATATAATATCCAGTATAATAAATGACCCCAAAAAAAAAATCGTGTTCAAGTCGAATCGATATACCTACTGCATTTTTAATGAAATTAAGGAAATAAACCACACATCAAATTATTATCAATCCATTGTTAAAAAGCACAAAATACAGCCGTTTAATTTGAAATATTTGGTACATTATGATGGCTTCAAAAATCTCTAATTGATAGCCTAATAATCATAATATGAAACATGATAAAAAAATTTGGTGGTATTGGCGTATTATGTGTCCGTATGGGTAAATGCCCCAACCCTGTTTACTTTTGCATCGAAGTAATTATGCCGTCCAGTTTTAAGAATAGGACAGTTATCCTTATTGTCGCGGTAACTATATCTTTAAGGTTGGGTAGCCAAATAAAATATCAGAATTCAAAATATTTAAATCTTCTTTTGACAGCCTGCCTGGAGCCCTATGCCACAGAAAAAGCGATGCGAGAATGCCACGGCAAGAGGAGGTGCGTTCTATCCGCCGACAGCAATATGTTCGGGAATCCTTGCCGACCCGGCAGCAGAACTTATCTCAAAGTCGTTTACACTTGCGGTAAGTGTTTCTACTTTGTCTGCAGACCATCAAGTTCCACATACCTCACGTGCCCCCTAGGCGCGGACACCTTGTATGAGGTTCGGCCTCTGACCGAAATATAATGTGTTTCTATTATAACCCAAAATGTATCCACTTTATTTCAATTAAAAACTCCAACAAGAAGAATAAGCAATATATTTTAATCCCATAGCTATATACCCAGTTATGATGATGAGACTTTTAATTCATTTTTATTATAATTTTTCATTTAGTAAAATAATAATGTGTATTTAAAAATGTGTGTGTAATGTAATAATGTATGTAATTTACGCTGAACTAAATTCATGTTAAAGAGTACCTACTTATTTTAAATCTTGTTTTTATTATTTTCAACTTCTTGCACACTGAATATAATAGTGTTTATTCCGCATAGTTTGTGTTAGTCACAAAGTCGCACTTAATTTTATTCTTCATGAAAATATAATCGAAAAAGCCATAATTTTCTAGTTTCTACTTCTATCAGAGTTTTGATTATAGTTATTGCTAATGAAATTCAAATTATTGAGGCTGTCACTTTGAAGAAAGAAGTCGTGAATGAAATACGAGTTATTACGAATATGGGGTATATAATGGTGTTATACTACATACAATTGGCCGAAAGCTTTTGCACATTTCTACCTTATTACTGCTAGACTAGTCTAGACTAGTGATTGAGCTCACTACCCATCTTAGATTATGTGGTCACCAGATCCCATAGAAATCACCATGTCAGATATCACATTGTGTTTCAATTATACAGTACAAAGGTTGTCCCACCCATCGGACCGGACAAGACTATTCCCAGAAATCGGTAGTATCTATGTGTCTGAGCTTATAAGACGTCCTACCATAATTATGTAAATGTTATTTTTTGCTCATTTATTTTTAGTAGATACATTATTATTTCTTACTAACGTAGAAGTCACATGCGAACATTGTGCTAAGTAAGAATTCCATATATTTTTTTAAATTGCGCTTTCGTGCAACATTTGGCAACTGGGTTAGTCGTATCGCTTGATATAAGTATACCTCTGCTCCTCCTATAGTTAAGGCCACGACAACTTGTAAGCTTGCATAAGCACATAGGTCCTAGGTTCCTATTTCTGCCGTAGGTAATCACAGCTGCTATGCAATACATGAAGTCGACGTGGCCTAAAGGATAAGACGTCCGGTGCATTCGTGTGAGCGATGCACCGGTGTTCGAATCTCAGGCGGGCACCAAATTTTCTAATGAAATACGTACTCAATAAATGTTCACGATTGATTTCCACGGTGTAGGAATAGCATCGTGTAATAAAAATCAAACCCGCAAAATTATAATTTGCGTATCTTTGCGTAATTACTGGTGGTAGGACCTCTTGTGAGTCCGCGCGGGTATGTGCCGACGCCCTGCCGATGTCTACCCTGAAGCAGTAATGCGTTTCGGTTTGAAGGGTGGGACAGCCATTGTAACTATACTTGAGACCTTAGAACTTATATCTCAGGGTGGGTGGCGCATTTGCGTTGTAGATGTCTATGGGCTCCAGTAACCACTTAACACCAGGTGGGCTGTGAGCTCGTCCACCCATCAAAGCAATAAAAAATAAAAAGTACAGTTAAAACGTCGACTTCAAAAATGCAACTCCTTCAGTTGACAAATTCAACTAATTAAATTCTTAATCTATAACAAAAGTATAATCGAACATTGTTAGAGAGTTACAAATGTAGCAATAAATTAAAGGAACCTTGTTTGCCTTCAAAATTGAATTTTCTTAATGAAATATTGCTGGCAGATGTTCGTAAATATGATACTGTAGGCTTTGCTTCGTTATTCGCTGTAATAGTGTGCTTTCGGCCGTTTTAACCAAAATCCCCGTTTCGTATCTATAAATTGAATCTTTTAGTCATCGTGGCCTAACGGATAAGACGTCCGGTGCATTCGTGTTGAAGCGATGCACCGGTGTTCGAATCCCGCAGGCGGGTACCAATTTTTCTAATGAAATACGTACTCAACAAATATTCATGATTGACTTCCACGGTGAAGGAATAACATCGTGTAATAAAAATGAAACCCGCAAAATTATAACTTGCGTAATTACTGGTGGTAGGACCTCTTGGGAGTCCGCACGGCTAGGTACCACCACCCCGCCTATTTTCCGCCGTGAAGCAGTAATGCGTTTCGGTTCGAAGGGTGGGGTAGCCGTTGTAACTATACTGAGATCTTAGAACTTATATCTCGAGGTGGGTGGCGCATTTACGTTGTAGATGTCTATGGGCTCCAGTAACCACTTAACACCAGGCGGGCTGTGAGCTCGTCCATCCATCTAAGCAATAAAAAAAAAACCTATATATATAAATGAACTGCTGTTCGTTAGTCTCGCTAAAACTCGAGAACGGCTGTACCGATTTGACTAATTTTCGTCTTAAATTATTTGCGGAAGTCATCAGAGAAGATTTAAAAGGTAGATAAATATGAAAATGCTCGGAATTTTCCTTTGATGTGTCCCCCGTCGGACGGATTCCTTTTGTTTGTTTTAAGTTTTATTTTACACAAAAGTTGAGGTCTTTTATTTATCGATTGCGGCACTACGAAGTTTGCCGGGTCATCTAGTTGTTTAATAAATATAGCACGACTTAGCTTCTGCGTGGAAGAGAATCTGAAATTCTTTATTCAATTCGAAAAACAAACATTACAGTCAATTGATATAATTTAAATTTGCGTTTTTCATTTCTTGATAAGATAGATAAGTGGTTACCGGAGCTTATAGACATCTACAACGTAAATGCCGCAACTCACCTTGATACAAGAGTTCTAAGGTCTCAGTTTTAACAGTACAACGACTGCCCCACCCTTCAAAACGAAACGCATCACTACTTCATTCCAGAATTAGGCAGGGTGGTACCTACCCGTGCGGACTCACAAGACGTCCTACCACAAGAGAAAAATCTGTATAAATGATGGTATATATTGTAAACTACTATAGATATTCTACATTATTCTTTTTTTTTTTATTGCTTAGATGGGTGGACGAGCTCACAGCCCACCTGGTGTTAAGTGGTTACTGGAGCCCATAGACATCTACAATGTAAATGCACCACCCACCTTGAGATATAAGTTCTAAAGTCTCAGTATAGTTACAACGGCTGCCCCACCCTTCAAACCGAAACGCATTACTGCTTCAGGGCAGAAATAGGCAGGGTGGTGGTATCTACCCGTGCGGATTCACAAGAGGTCCTACCACCAGTGATTCGTGATTCTCGTGTTAAATCAAAATACGAAATTGCAATAGAATGCATGACACGAGAATTTCAATTGAATAAGATAACCTAGTTGGTAAGCTTATGTATGTGTTTATCATTTAGTCCTCTCTCCGTTATAAATAATTTAAATGAATTGTTTCTATTCAAATATACCTAATTGAAACTACAATTTTTTTATCTTATTTTTTTTTTTGCCCTTGTAGACAGACGCATTAAAAAGTTAATGTATCATATTTAAGATGTCTCTTATTTTAAATACCAGCAGCTTATCCAATAAAATAAAATAAAAAATTTACATACCAACGCTTCTCATGGAAAATAATATTACCTAAACCCTAAAAGTATTTCGTTGCGCTTGAAAAAATTCTTCCGCGTTCCGGCATCCTGAAACCTTGTTGTAAAATCTAGAACATTCTATTAGGGACAACCTTCGCGTAATAAACTTCATATTTTCACACTTTATTAAAGTCTATTAAAGTCTAAGTTTTTTTATTGCCCTTGTAGACAGACGCATCAAAAAGTTAATGTATCATATTTAAGATGTCTCTGATTTTACATACCAGCAGCTTATCCAATAAAATAAAAATAAAAATGTACACACCAACGCTTCTCATGGAAAATAATATTACCTAAATCCTAAAAGTATTTCGTTGCGCTTGAAAAAAATTCTTCCGCGTCCTGGCATCCTGAAACCTTGTTGTAAAATCTAGAACATTCTATTAGGGACAGCCTTCGCGTAATAAACTTCATATTTTCACACTTTATTAAAGTCCGGAACATTTACCCCGACTATAAAATGTTTTATGAATGTGATATAACGTCCTAAAATGTTTACATAAAGTTTATGTAAAATACTCTTTATGCCGTCAATTATGACTATATTATAGGAATGAGAATTTTATTAAACTTGAAATTGATATTTTTTTAAATAATACTAACTTTATTACTAAGTAATAATAATTTAAAATAAATAAATTTAATTTTACTTGATATTTTATTTTTTTAACGTTTTTTTTTTCAATGTAGCAATAGAAATCATTATTTATGTTTAATTTCAATTTCATTGATTACACGCATTGAAAAAAAAAGAAAGTGTAGTAAAATTCCTAATATCCGTGGCCGTAATATGTAAGATTTATAGTATCCATCTATGGCACAATATATTAATATCAAATTTTAAAGGCATTTACTAATTAAAAAATGTCCTTCACTAGTCTAATCCGGATTCACAAACGACCTTACGACGAATAAAATCGTAAATTAAAAACCAATAATGATTAATTATGATTACTTTTTTTTCCTGTGTCCCAAATTTTACGACACCTATAAGGGAAGAAATGGGGTGGTGCAATTCTAGGCGGACAGTCTGCCGTCAACAAAAATTATTATTGAAGTTTTTTTATTTTTTTTATTGCTTAGATGGGTGGACGAGCTCACAGCCCACCTGATGTTAAGTGGTTACTGGAGCCCATGGACATCTACAACGTAAATGCGCCACCCACCTTGAGATATAAGTTCTAAGATCTCAGTATAGTTACAACGGCTGCCCCACCCTTCAAACCGAAACGCATAACTGCTTCACGGCAGAAATAGGCAGGGCGGTGGTACCTACCCGCGCGGACTCACAAGAGGTCCTACCACCAGTAATTATATGTTTCCCAATATATCGAATAAAATACGTATCAATTACATGTTCACTAATGATTTCCATGGTTAACGTATAACATGTGTAATAAAAT